GCAGACGCTTAACAGCTGAGCCACCCAGGCGCCCCCAAGCCACTGGATTTTAACCTCTTCCATCTCTCGGCCCCCAGCCGTCGCAGGAAAACTGTACATACAGTGGTTTAGCCAGCCTGCAAAGATGGTTTCTTAATGTTAACGCTCAATTCATTTCCTTTTTATTTCAACTTTTATGTAATACCTGCTCTGGTCATGGCGGACATATGAGAGACCTCTGCAGAGTCGTTTTACTCTGTCACATGTATTAGTTTTTTCATATTTTCTCATTCTGCTTTTGAAAGGAATTGGTCTTTTAAGACTTCTGGGAAAAGGGAGTCTTCTTACATGTGGCTAACCTGAGTTAAGGAGGAAGGCAATTACTCTAGATCTCTTGCTGAAAAGGAGGCATCTTTGAACATGTCATGACAGATATTTATACAAATCCAAATGCCTTCCTAAGGAACATTAAGGAGCTGTCCAAATTTTGAGACCTGGGAGGATTTCCTTGCTTGAAGCCAGCCAGTCAGCCAGCCATTGGCTGGGGTTTGTAGGGGTTTTTTTGATGGAAGGAGGGGAGCATGCGAACATATTTTTATGTTTTTAGAACACAGTTTATTTCTCTGTGTGCACTGAAGAAAGGATTTTCTACAGACAGACTCTCTATTTTGCCAACCAGCCCCTCCCCTTGTTTTACCCAAAGGACTCTCAAATCATGCTCCAGAAATGAATTTTCAATTACCTGCTTTAGATCTCCACCTGAATGTCCTGCAAGCATACCCACAGCACGTCCAAAATCAAACTCATGGTGGCATTCCTCAAGGCTTCTGGACCCCCTATATTTGCTAACATTACTAACATTAACATTATTGACCACCTAGTCATGTCTGTATGAAGCCTCAGGTGACCTAACATTATTGACCACCTAGTTGTCTCTGTATGAAGCCTTTCGTTCGTCCTTCTCTAGTGTGTCTTCTCATCTGATCAATTGCCAAGTCCTACAGACACTCCTTTCAGAATATTTATCACATCCACCCTTCCCATCCATTCCCACTGCTGCCATTCTGGCTCAGTTCTTATTTCCTCACTTCTTATCTTGGCTATCAAAATGTTCTCCTAATTAGTCTTCCTATCTCCAATGCTCTTCTTGTTCCAGCCATCCTATATTTTGCCTTGCCCCAGGCCAATCTTCCTAATGCACCATATACATGTTAGGATTAGGTTCCACTTTTCCAGTAGGAAAAAAAGAAGGAGCAGTGTCCTCTCCCTTTAAGAATATTTCCTAAAAGTTGTTCACGCTATGTGCTTTATATTTCATTAACCAGAATTTACAACATGACCTTACGTAGGTGCAAGAGAAGTTAGGAAATGTAATCTTTATTTTGCACAGGCATATCCCCAGTTAAAAATCGGTGCTTCTGATGAATAAGTTGTGGGAATGAAAGGGACAGTGTAAGGAATATAGTCAATGATATTGTAATAGTGTTGCATGGTGACAGATGGCAGCTATCCTTGGGGTGAGCACAGCTTGACATATAGACTTGCTGAATCACTATGTTGTACACTTGAAACTAATGTAACACTGTGTGTCTGCTATACTTCAATAAGTAAATTAAATTAATTTTTTAACAAAAGATTGGTGCTCTGTTACTAAAAAAGCAGGAAAGAATTGTATTCTAGGACATACCACTTCCTTCATCCCATACTCCTTCATACCACTTCTTGTTCAAAAGCTTTCAATGGCTCCCACTGAATTAAGAATACGCTCTTCATCCTGGCATTCAACACCTACCAGGATCTGGTGTCTGTTCCCTCTCCAAGCTTGTACCCTCTAGGCATGCTACAAACATGGGGCTGTGTGCTGCTTCCACATTTTCTTGCCTCTCCATACAGTCCCAGTTCACTTCTCTTGCAAAGCCTTTCTGAAGTCCCCTTGCTCCCACCGTGCTTGCTGCCCACAGCTTTGTGCAGCCCAGAGCTGTGTTAATAGTTAACCCTCCATTGGGAGTGACGAACGACCTGCCCTGCTGGCACTTTCCCTGGACATAAGTGGTGCCGAGTGGGAGAGCCGTGTTGTGGGCACCTTATGCTGTGCCTAATGTTTGAACTAGAAACACTTCTCTTTAAGTAGGAGCTGGTGTCTGGGGGCCTCTTTCAGGGACTGGCTGCCCTGGAGCTGCTCTCCCTCCAGGTGAGGCAAACCAAGAGACAGGTTATCTGCTCATGGCCTCCCCAACAGTTGCTGAAGTGTTTAACTTTCTGCTTTCTCTCTCTCCTTTTTTTTTTTTTCTTAATTCTTCTCCTTCTGCACTTCCATTACATTTCTTTTGTCTTTTCATAATTTTACACGCCTCCTCCTTGTTGGTATTTAGTACAAAAAGTCATTGATTCCTGTATTTAGACACCTCCCCCTGCAACACTTACATGTGTTTTCTCTGGATTTTAGATGTATAAGTACCAAATTACAAAATACCTTACAAGTGGTCCAGTCTGATACCACTCGCCATCACCACCACCACCATCGTTTGATGCTTGAAACTCTCAATAGGTTGGAGTAAGTACTGTTCAGTAAGTATTTCCTCTCTTGTTTCTCCCACTTGGATTGGAGTATATTTACTCACCTTTTTGATTTTGAGCTTGACCATATGACCTACTTGGCCAGTGAAATAAGAGGATGTGAAGCAAGCAGAGGCATCGAAATGTTTTGCAGAGTTGTACTTGGACTCCTGCTTATGTGTGAGTCAGCATGCCCCAGGTAGATGCTGTCCCTTTAGCCTGGCAACAGAACAAAGGTGAGAAGCGTGTCTGAATCCAGCCTGCCCCTGCAAACCCAACTGCTTTGCTACCTAAAGAAGACATCCCAGGCAGCCCATGGGCCCCTAAGTGAGAAAGATAAAATGCTATTGTTGAAACCTACTGAGATTTGGAGTCATGTGTTATGCTGTATCATTGTGGCAATAGCTGAGTCATATAAACCCTCTTTTCAACATCTGTTCCAGTTATCTATTTTTATTGAACAAACCACTCCAAAACATAGCAGCATAAAGTCACAGCCATTTTCTTATGCTCATGATTCTGTAGGCCAGAAATTCAGGCTGGAGCCTTAGCTGGGTGGCTTCATGACTGGACATGGCTGCACTCCACCAAAGCCACATGCCTGGCTATCTGCTGGGATCCTCAGTTCTTTTCCACATTGTGTCTACTGAGGCTGGAATGTCCAAGATGGCTCTTTCATTCGTACCGCGGGTGCCTGGACTATTGTGGCTGGAAGAGCTGGGCTGGCTGAGCATCTCTCTCTGTCTGTCTGTAGGTCTGTCTCTCAGTGTGGCTAGCGTGGAATTCCTCACTGCAGAGTGATCTCAGTGTAGTCGAACTTCTTATAGTGGTTGACTTCCCTCAGAGGGAGTGTTCTAAGAAATCTAGGTAGAAGCTGCAAGACTTCTGACCTCGCCTCAGAGTGTCCCTTCTTGCACACGCTGGTGGTCAAGCAAGTCACTAAGACCAGCCCTGATTCAACAGAGGAGAATTAGACTCCACCTCTTAAAAAGGGAGTAGCAAAGAATTTGCTGCCATCTTTGATCCACAGTAACATCCTTAAAGCTTACATGTGTGTGCATTCTAGATCCGCACACATACGTCATTTCTCCCACAAATGCCCTCACTCTGAGGTCTCTTTGGACGACTCTGTTAGAAAGTTCCTTTGGCATCATTTAGTCATGTTCTTAAAACCATGACTGCATCATCTATCATGAAGAAGAATTCATTTCCCTCACTAAAGCAATGCTATGGATTTTTTTATTTAAGAAGTCGTAAGAATGGTGTCTTTCCTATATTGTCAACAATGACTATCAATCACTCCTAATATGCTTATGTATTGGTGAATACTTTGTATAGTACATGCTTGCAGACTTCTGCTAGTAGAGAGATATTCTCAGTTCTGATTTCACATCTGATGCCAGTTCAGTATTTTCCATATTATTTCACTAGAATGATAATGGCATCACTAGAATCACATAGCAGGAATTATTTTCTGCCATGAATGGACTCAAAAAGGAAAATCATATCCCACAAAGGCCAATTTGGATTCTAGAGTACTTCTTTACCTTTACTGAGAGATGCCAGATAGTTTAACAATTATACTTAAAAAGTTAAACTTTAGGGGCGCCTGGGTGGCTCAGATGGTTGGGCGTCTGCCTTCGGCTCAGGTCATGATCCCAGGGTCCTGGGATTGAGTCCCGCATCGGGCTCCCTGCTGGGCGGGAAGCCTGCTTCTCCCTCTGCCTCTGCCTCTCTCTCTCTCTTTCTCTCTGACTCTCATGAATAAGTAAATAAAACATTTAAAAAGTAAATAAAAAAAAAGTTAAACTTTAGCCTCATTCTTTCCATGTTAGCAAAACACAGCTTTGTAGAAAATGCAATGTGATTTTTAAAAAATAATATTTGCCTTTCAAATAGATCAGATTACTTAGCAAACAAAGCAAGTGAGGTGAAAATCCAAAATAATAAATAAGTTCTTTTCCTTGCACGGTGGACGAACTTCGTGTGCAGGGCATTGTGGCAGTCAAAGCACTGGTGACTTCGTAATCTGTGCTCCTTTCTCAAGCTCTACCCGCCAAAAAGAAGGCAAAGAAAAAAGGGGGCCGTAAAGAAGCCCCTAGAACCAAAAGGTCAGGTGCACACTCAGATAAACACTGTGAGTCAACACTAAAAGGGAATTTGGTCAGAGTGGGAGTAAAAGGCAGAATGAAACAGAAATAAGTCTGTTTCTATGGTTTTAGAGAGGAGCTAAAGCTACGTTAGCTGACGTGTGCTTCTTAGAACAGTGAACTGGGAGCATCAGAAGAAATGAGTACAAGATGGGAATATAAGTTAGTTTGGTGTCTGTGTTTTGTGGGCAAGGGTTCTGTGGGTAGGAATTTAATTCATTGACACAACCAGATGTTTACTGAGTTGCTTAGTGAACGTTAATCACTCTGCAAGGTCCATTGAGTGAAATACAAAGAAAGGAGTATGGATTACTTGGGGAGCTGATCAAAGTGCATCTTCCTGAGCCTGGTGGATGGCCTAGGAACCTGCATTTCAACAAGCCAACCCTCCTCTCCTGCATTACCCCACCCCACGATTCAATCAAAGAATATTTATAGGGACATTGAGTTAACAGAGTTTGAATTAAAGAGAAATCCAAGAAAAGGTCTAGGGCTAGGCCTTCGAAGCCTATCAATCAAATCCTTCTTCCTGAGGAGGGATCTTCCTCCACTTAAAGGGTTAACGTCCCCAAATTGAAAATATTGTAAGTTGAAAATACATTTAATATACCTAAACTATGGCCCAACATAGCTCAGCTTAGCCTACCTTGAGCGCACTCAGAACATTTGCATTAACCTACAGCTGGGCAAAATCCCCTACCACAAAGCCTATTTTATAATAAAGTGTTGAATATCCATGTCATTTATTGAGTACTGTACTGAAGGTGAAAAAAAAAATGGAATGATTCTATGGGTGTAGACTGGTTGTAAGTGTATCAGTTGTTGACCCTGTTGATTGTGTGGCTGCCTGGGAGCCGGGGCTGCCACTGCCCAGCATCGTGAGAGAGGATCTTCCTGCATATCACTAGCCTGGGAAAAATATCCAAATTTAAAATTCAAAGTACTGTTTCTACTGAATGCACATCAATTTCACACCATGGTAAAGTCAAAAAATCATAAGCCATACCACCTGTACAATTCTAAGAAGAGAAGCAGGGGGAATTAGAGGAGAGGGAGGTTAGATAGGGTAGAAAAGAAACGGACATCAATTAGAATGGGTTATGGTTCTCCCAAGAATTTAGTTTAATTTAATTTAAGCCTGGCCCTAGAATTCTCTGAGGTCTGTTTGGGAAACAGTGGTGGACTTCTGAAAAGATAATTAACCTTACAAGTAGAACTCAGTGGTCCCCAAACTTGACTCTCATCAGAGTCATCTAGAAAGAGTTTAGAAAGAATAGATTCCAGGGCTCCAACCCTGGAAATTTTATTTTTGTAGCTCTGGGGTAGGACCCAGTCATCAATATGTTTTTTATTCTTCCAGCTAACAGATTAATCAGATATAACAACCAAATCCAATGGAATCTGAATTAAAAGAAAAGCAAAGTATAATTTTGAGACCATTGGGGAAATTTCATGTATGTTAAACCTAATGTGGAGTTTCTTAGATGTGGCAACAGTGTTCTGGATAATAGGACAGTGGCCCCATTCTTGGGAGAGTGCTGAGAAGTATTTAGGGACAGTGTCAAGGTGTCTGCACAGCATTCTTGGATGGCTTGGCAAAGGGGAAATGTGTGTACTTATACAGAGACCAATGCAGTGGGGGAGGCAAGATGCTACGGCTGACAAACGTAGGTGAGGAGTATATGGGTGTTAACTGTTTTGTTCTTGAGATTTTATTCAGGCTGAAAAATTTTCAGAATTATAAAACATTAATTATTTTTACAAGAGAGAATAAATGGGGGGGGTGCGTGGGGTTGGAAGTCTCCATTCTTGATTTTGTTGCACAAGAGATTTGAGAAACATTACCAGAAGGTATGGGTTATAGAAGTTTGAAGCAGTGAGAGAGAGGTCACTGTGGCCTACAACTGAGGTTCTCCACTCATTTTCTTCTAGGACACACGTGACAAATGATGTCTATACTCAGTGCCCATAGCTATGGTGAACCTAGGCTTAGATGTGATTCCTGGCTACTGACCTGAACCACAACAGATTCTCCTCCTACTTAAGAAAGAATGTTGCCTGCAAGTAAGTGATGTTATCATATGGATAACTTCGAATTCATTCAAATTTATTTTAAAAATAATCATGCCCGAACTTCTCTATTTTTGTGTGGAAGGGGTTTGAAAATTCAACCAATCACTATAATGCACAAAGAAAATGTAGATTACTTGCTATCTGTAGTTGATCTAATCTTTGTCCTGGGCAGTCACAGCACTGGGTCATCAAGGTGGGGGGTGGGGGGCGGGGAGAAAATGGGCCTTAACTTGACAATGAATGTCATGGAAGTTTTTCTCCAGTTTAAATAGTTTCATGTGGATAACTCAGAGTCTCCTGGTAAATACTCAGCATTTCAGACTTCTTCTCTATCAAGTTACTCTACATTGATGCGGTTATAGAAAATTTTAAGAGAGGTTACAATTTTCTATAAACTGGGAAAGAGTGGTGCTTCACCACTAGGGAAAATGCACAGACATTGTAGTAGATTCTGAAAATAGCCCCATTCTTCACCTTTCCCTGTATCCTGACTTTTTGTTATGTTACTTTTCAGGGTCCTCCAACTCAATCTGCACTCAGCCATATGATTTTCTTCAGCCAGTGGGTATAGCTGACCCAAGGCAAGCAGAGGTTTGAAATACGCTTACACGGGGCGTCTGGGTGGCTCAGTTGGTTAAGTGACTGCCTTCGGCTCAGGTCATGATCCTGGAGTCCCAGGATCGAGTCCCGCATTGGGCTCCCTGCTCGGCAGGGAGTCTGCTTCTCCCTCTGACCCTCCCCCGTCTCATGCTCTCTCTCTCTCATTCTCTCTGTCAAATAAATAAATAAAATTTAAAAAAAAAAAAAAAGAAATACGCTTACACGTTAGGCTTTTCTCTTGTGCCATTGCCATCAGAACATGCCTGCAGGGGGAGAGAGACACGTGGAGCACAGCTGAGTCCTCGGTCATCATAGCAGAGGTCATCCTGGATCAACTACCAGCCCGACTACCCCAAATATGGAAGCAGACCCAGCCAATCAGCAGAGCTGTCTAGTTGCCCGCCCCCCACCACTCTGAGAAATGTGAGCAGTAAATACCATTGTTGTATCCATGGAGGTTTTGTGGTTCTTTGTTACAGTGTTAGTCCAAATCCACCATGAAGCAGATGCCGAGATGGAATAAAACGTACAAGGATTTTATGCAGGGAATATCAATGCAAGAGAAAAAAGGGAGGAGCGAACTGAGCGCCAGGACACCTGTCAAAAGGCAATGTGAGTCTGACCCAAATGAAGGAAGGAGGGAAGGAAAGTTGGGTAGACGTGTCTGCCATGCAGTCTAAGGAAAGTTCAACCTCAGCTATCAGAGGAGTCTCGAGCCTCCTAGGAACAGGTCTGCCTTAGTATGCCCACAACACTCAGCCATTGGCTGGGAGAAACCTGGGGGAAGCATGGCCTTGGCACAAAATGGGCAGTGGGTTTCAGAGCACACTAATTGGCCAGTTAGACTAATAAGTCTGCGAGGTTTTTTTCTCGTGGCTGCCAAAATTACACAGCATTATTGTGGGAAGACTTAACGGATAGAGGCATGCAGAAGAGCAGTTCCTAACGTGGGTGGTACTGCCTCCTAGGGGGAGTTCTGGAAGTGAAGGGGGCATTTCCTGGCTGTCATTGTGATTGAGGGGGTGCTACTGGCAATTAGCGGGCATGGGCCAAAGATGTTTGATATCCTGTAAATCCCTGGACCGTCCTGCACAACCAATCATCCTGTGTCCTTCACAAAGTTTCGGTGTCCTATATGATATCCACAAGGGGAAGAAGCTGTTGAAAATGATCTCAGCCAAGAACCCAATACTGTTTTAGACAGAAACATCAAATATTTTTTGCTCACTACAAATATGCACTGTGTTTCTGTGATTACAATTACTGTGGATTATGAAGAAAGATGGCTCTGTTTCAAACGTGACTAAGTATTGGTGACCCATATTAGGAAATCATGCCACCAAGCAACATTACTTGTGGTATTTGAGTCACCAATACAATGCTCCTGAGACAAGCTACGTTTATGGCTGTGACCACCATGTGCAACGTGCAAACGTTTGATTATTTCATTATATTCCCTGTGTGATCATTCCCAGGTATTTACTCACAATAAAATATATATTATTTCATTATAATGATTTTCCTGAAGCTATGTGGTAGGTGAACTTTATTTTTTTATTTTTAGAATGAGAGAGAGAAAGGGGGGAGGGGCAGAGGGAGAAGGAGAGAGAGAATCTTAAGCAGGTTCCACGCCCAGTGCAGAGCCCCACATGGGCCTCGATCTCACGACCCTGAGATCATGACCTGAGCTGAAATCAAGAGTCAGATGCTTAGCCAACTGAGCCACCCAGGTACCCTTATTTTCAAACTTCATTTTTGGCTGAAAGAAAGTGCTAGGTCTGACATGGTTAAGACCCACTCCTGTAGAATGAGGATCAAAAAGCTATATAATAATTATCAAAGAGAAGGGAAATATACCCATGTTCATAGCAGCATTATTCACAATAGCCAAAAAGGTAGAAGCAACCCAAGTATCTATTGACAGATAAATGGATAAATAAAATGTGGTGTATATACACATATACATAACAGAATATTAAAAAAGCCTTAAGGGGTGCCTGGCTGGCTCAGTCGGAAGAACATGTGACTCTTGATCTTTGGGTTGTGAGTTCAAACCCCACTTTGGGTACAGAGATTACTTAAAAATAAAATCTTAAAAAAAAAAAAAAGAGAGAGAAGGAAATTCTGACATAGGCTACAACATAGATGAACCTTGAAGATATTATGCTAAGTGAAATAAGCCAGTCACAAAAGGACAAATATTGTATGATTCTGCTAAAACCAGTTACCTAGAGTAGGCATATTCATAGAGACAGGAGGTAGAATGGCGGCTGCCATTGGCTGGGGAGAGGGAGATTGTGAGTTATTGTTCCATGGGTGCAGAGATTCAGTTTTGCATCATGAAAAGAGTTCTGGAGATCAGTTGCACAACCGTATGAATATACTTAACACTACTAAACTTAAAGATGGTAAATTTTATATTATGTATATTTTACCACAATAAAAAAAGAAAGAAAGAAAGGGAGTATAATTTCAGTCCCCAGGTCAGACCCGGAGTAAACTATAAATGGATACTAGCCTGTGATAGTGTCCATTAATGTTATACTGATATTTTTAATACATAGTTTCATGTAAATGTGTATACATATATATTCGATGGCATATCAAAATTGATAAGAAATATGACACATGGAGAACTGGTAACTCAGGAAATATTTTCTACCAGAACAAGATTTTTTTTTTAATTTTATTATGTTATGTTAGTCACCATACAATACATCATTGGTTTTTGATGTGGTGATCCACGATCCATTGTTTTTGTATAACACCCAGTGCTCCATGCAGTACGTGCCCTCCTTAATACCCATCACCGGGCTAACCAGTCCCCCCTCCCCCTCAGAACAAGATTTTTAAAAAAATTACTGAAAGAAGTTGGAGTTTAACTGGAAAGTCCCGGTGACCTCATGATCTTTGTGATGTTTGTCCAGCTATTGTTGCCCACATCAGGCCCACCCTTCTCCGCTGCTGGGGGTGTTGGGGCTGAGCCACATTTTCCACATTTCCCACATTCCCTTGCCAGACTGCTCCCTATGGTTCTGGGAGGCAGTGGTGGGAAATGGGAGGGCAGAAGAAAGGGGGGTTCTCCTGCTCCTCCCTCCCATTGGGAGATGACTGGCAGCAGCAGACAGCTCTAGCTCCAGCTTCTAGCTTCTCTCCATGGTCCCCGCCGCTGTTCCCAGTCTTGCACAGCCCCTCACAGGTGCTCAGCAACCGGAGCTCCCTCGGAGCTGCACCCCCTCAGGGAGGATGGAGCATGCACCTGCAGAGAGAGCTCTGGGCCTCAGCCCTGCTGAGCCCTCCTCGGAAGGCTTGGTTTCTAGAAATACCACCTCTTCCCATTTGCTCCCCAGCCCAGCAGTAGCTGCTAGGTTATTAATCTGTGGTTTACCTCAGCATCCCTTTTTGCTTTCACTCCTCCCCTCCCCCGCCGTTATCTAACGCCTTTGTAATCAACTGCCTGTATTATCTTTCATCCAGTGGGAATTCCTACTGTGATTGCTGTTTTCCTGCCTGGATCCTGACTGATGAAATCTTTGAAAGATGTACCACATCTGTCAGTGAAGTGATCTGTTAGTGATGCTGTGTTCCACCTGTGTTCCTAGGGAACAGTCTGCTAGAGATCCCTAGAGCAGCAAGATTTTCAAATACTCTAATACTATTTTCAAAGTTGTTTGTTTGTTTGTTTTGAGAGAGAGAGAGAATGAGTGAGAGTGGGGAGGGGCAGAGGGAGAGGGAGAGAGAATCCCAACCAGGCTCCACACTCAGGGCAGGGCCTGACATGGGGCTCGATCTCACTACCCTGGGATCATGACCTGAGCTGAAACCGGGAGTGGGATGCTTAACCAACTGAGCCACCCAGACGCCCCTCTAATATTATTTTCTACTAAAAGGAATCAGGGCTCCTTGGAGAGTGGCTGACTTTATGACTCTCTGTTTGGAGCAGAAAGTAGAAATGGGTTGGAAAATTTCATTGTTGCGAAAAAGCAAAAATGCTTGCAGAGATTTCAGGAATTCCTTTTGGCCAGACTATAACAACTTGAGCATTGAAAAGAAAAAAAATTCTGTGCAAAACAAGAGTACATAATGATACTCAAAAAGAAACAACCAAGGGGTGTCTGGGTGGCTCCGTTGGTTAAGCGGCTTCCTTCAGCTCAGGTCATGATCCCTGCTTTGAGCCCTGCTTTGGGCCCCCTGCTTGGCTGGGGGGGCCTTCTTCTCCCTCTCCCACTCCTCCCGCATGTGTTCCCTCTTTTGCTGTCTCTCTCTATATGTCAAATAAATAAATAAAATCTTTAAAAAAAAAAAGAACTAAAATATAGTACATTCAAGGAAAAGGCAATTCTGAGTCTCAAATAGTATTTGTAGAAAATGCTCTTTATGCTAATGCAAACCATATACACAGTAGCATCAGATTTAGTTAGCAGCTAAGCACCATCAGGAAAATCCAGGAAGTAGAATTCAGCTTAGACCCCCAAAATACTTGCTTGGACAAGATCACCCTGGAAAGAGAACTTTGATCCTGTGCTTCAGTCCCAAATCGTTAATTCAGGTATTTGGTAATTCAACCAATTATTTCAGCAAATATTTATTGGGTGGCTATTATTCTAAGCACTATTCTAGGCATCTGGGATGCAACAGTGAAGAAAAAAACAACACAAAAACATCTGTCCTCCTGAAGCTTACATTGTAGCTAACAGAGGTCAGTATGCAATAAGCCTAATAAAGCAGTAGACTCACAGTAGGTTAGAGCACGTGAACGCTGTGGAACAGGGTGAAAAGGATCCAGAAGTGGGCAATTTGCGGTATGAAGCTGGAAGCCCTCATTGTGAACATGAGATCTGAGCAAAAACCGGAGGAGATGAGGAAGTTAACCAAGTGGGTATCTGGAGAGAACATTCCAGGCATGGAGAATGGCCACAGCATTCCCTAACTTGGGAATGTACCTGGGGTGTTCAAGGAACAGCAAGGAGGCCAGTGTGGCTGGAGTAAAATGAATAACGGAAAGTGACAGGAGCTGTGGTCAGAGAGGTGTTGAGAGAGCTGCCCGGGCAGGGCCTCGTGGGGCACGACCGTGACTTTGGCTTT